TTTGGCCGGACTGCATCAGCAGTTTACAAACAATTGAATGAAACTTATTTGAAGACCCCCTCCCCCCAATTCCCAGTAAACAGGCCAGACCACATCACAGTAATCTCGTGAGTGGGTTCTTTAACGTCCCCTGCCTAACCAAATTAACTAATTAATAGATGCAGGAGATGGGACCTACGGTTTATTCGTCCATATCCGAGAAGACTAGAATGTCTATCCATTTCTTGATATTATAGAAAGGTAGCGCATTCTCCTCAGTTATTTTAAGACCTTGAGTGTTGGTCTGGCTGGGGCTCGAACGATCGACCTCGACCTCCCGCACAACAGTCCAGCGCTCTAACCAATTGAGCTAACTGGGAGGCAGTTAGTAACATTTTAGTCAAATTGCCACCGGTGGCAATTTGACTTCAAGTGTTGGTGAGTTTTGTGATACTGAGTTTGTTGTGTTGGAAAATTGACTGTAAACCTTTGTAACAGTACAAGTCTTGTAGGTCACTATTAATTGTTTTCTGTCAGGTAATGAGTTCTTGATTTATCCATGGTGTAAAATTATTTAAGTTTTCTGCTCCTTTCTTAGTATGATGACCCTAACGCTACTGTGTCCAGCATTTTGGATGAACTTAAAAAACTGGTAAGACAAATGAGATGATTATTTGATCTTTACTCATTTGATTAATAATTGGTCACTAGATATCACTAGATATCATTTACTTTTTATTGGTCCTTTAATATGAGTGACTTTATTTCAGAATGTTGGAGTAGATTTTCCACCAGCAAAACTCAAAACAGGAACAGGAGAGCAGGTAAATAAATATGCAAATCTTATCTAACTTAGTATTTTTTAAAAGATGTTCAGTTTGAGATGGTATAATAATGTAACTGACAGTACATCAAACATTACTAATACAAGGTGATTGTTTAGTATAGTCCAAGGATGAGGAGGTAAAAGTAAATTTGTGATTCAGCTTGTAATGTCCATTCTATGTAGTTCTCTTAATTGTATACAACTTGATCTGATTTTTAAAATACTTATTTTCTGATGTTTTTTAGGTTTGCTATGTAATTGATAAACTTGCAGACGAGGCCCTGAAAGTCAAGAAATTTGGTTGGAAAAAGTATGTGTCCATATTATTACACGTCATTGTTTGCATTTGAGATGGTTTACAAATGTATGTGTGTTGTGATGAAAGCATAAAATATTATTTTTTGTAATTTCCCAGGCCGCAACATGAACAGGAAGACTTTGAGGAGGAAACAATGGAAGATGATGAAGCTGAACTGACACTGAACAAAGTGGAGGAGGAAATGATGGTGAGAAAAACTGAAATCAAAATATTGGGTCTGCTCATAGCATGCAGGCATTTTCTTTTGAGCTTAGTTGATGTACATCATCTCTCTAAATCTTACTTTTAGTTTTTTTATTTTCTTTTACCAGAGTTTTTATGCTTTTTTGGTTACAGTTGTATTTTTAATCTCTAACTTTTGCACTTCCTGTGGTAGGATGAAGCAGAGGAAGAAATTGAAGAAGAGGACAGTTATCTAGATCTGGCAGGAATGAAGCAGCAGTCACAAATGAATGTAATCAGAACTAGTTGGTGAACATTGTTGATAAATGAATTCACCTCAGGGTCTAAAGCTTTATGTTTTTTGATGTGTTTGTTGTTCTGCAGGAGATTGCTGATTCATCAAAACCCGAGTCTGTGATGGAGTCAACTATTGACGCTGCTGAGTGGAAACTTGAAGTTGAAAGGGTTCTGCCATTACTGAAGGTTCACATTCGAACTGATAACAAGGTAAACTTCTCACAGTTTTTCCCATTTTTATTTTACCTTCAAACTTTTAAGCAGTCAAAGATATCTGATTGAAGTTCTGGTCAGTGGCAGGTTGGTTTAGGCAGGGTTGCCAATGGCATTTTACATCTGTTCCTTTATCTAGGATTGGAGGACGCATTATGAACAAATGCAACAACACAGTGAAGGAATTAAATCTTCTCTAACTGAGACAAAGGTATAGTTTCATCGGAACTTACCGATAGTTTAATTACCTTTTGCCTCTTTTAATTTAGGAATACTCCTTACTGTCTGTCATACAATTGCTATGATGTTGGTTTAAAGAAAATTAATTGGTATGTCATCAACTAGTAATCCCCTCATTGATATTTTTCTCTATTCCTACTACTTGTCTGCTTGATATCGTATTGATATTTTTTATGGAGAAATTTTGTCTTGGTCAATCATAGGAGTTAAAGTCTTAATTACAGAATGGTTACCTCACTGCCAGCTCATTTCTGTTCTGTATTCACATTTTAACTAGTTACTATTTCTATCAGGGTCATCTTGACAAACTACACCATGAAATCAGTAGAACTCTTGAGAAGATAGGAAGTCGAGAAAAGTACATCAATAATCAGGTACAACTTATTTAGACAAATGAGATGAATAAAAAGACATCAGAGTTTAGATTTAAATGTTTGTATGACTCAGTGATCATTTCTACATATTGTTTATAACAGCTGGAACATTTGCTGCAAGAGTTTCGGAGTTTACAGGACACTTTAGCTGAGGTATGCTTGTTAGTATTAATTTTGCAGAGATTAAGTTCACCCAAGCTAGAGTTTTGACGTGTCTTGTTTTATTTGTGTGTCTCATCAGACTAAAGAACGTTACAAGCAAGGCTCTGGAGGGGTAACTGACCTCACTAAGTCATTATCACAGGTTTGTTTACTTGCAAAATTTTGGAATTTTTTTTCTCCATTTACCTGGTAACACAGGATTCTTGATGAATTATTTTTTGTTTAATTTGGAAGATCACAGAAGAACTTGAGTCTGTCAAAGCACAGATGGATGAAAGAGGAACAAATATGACTGATGCAGGTGAGGCACATACATTTTATCTTTGATTTCATCATGCAACTTCAGTGATGGTGACTTGTGACAGCGGAACAAAGATCTCAAGTGTTGTCTTAATCATGTCATGCAGGTCCTTTAGTCAGAATAAAACAAGCGTTGACAAGACTCAAACAGGAAGTTCAACAAATGGAAGTTCGTATAGGAGTGGTACGTTTGGCCATGTTTTTTGTTTGTTTGTTTTTTTTTTTCACAATATACTTCAAAGACATGACAAATGACAAGTTGACTTGCTTCTCGTTGTGCTTTTTACGAGTTAAAAAGTGTGTCTTGACACTAAATACAGAAAATTCCAAGAGTTTAGAGAACTTCTTGCGGACAAGAGTTCGAATATTTATTAATCCAAAGACATAATGATTTTAGGCGTGACGCTTAGGGAATGGCAAATGGTAAAAATAAGCTGCTTTTTTTAACTTTCTTTACATTCCTTAAATCAACCCAGTAGAGTTATAAGAGGGCGAGAGCACACATTGTATTCAGTTCTCGCCATTTACCGTGGAATTCTTGCTCTTAAGATGCTAAAACTGGTGAGTTAAGAAGTATGGAGTAACGTAAGCAGCATTTACTTGAAGATGTAAGTGCCTCCTTCAGTTCAACCGTGTAAATATCAAAACATCTGTTTTTGCTGTCCCTCGTTAAAAAACTCGGACATTTTTGTTCTTTACAGTGGTAGTTAATGGGCTCCTTACCTGTGTGTTTTTTGTAGGTTGAACACTCCCTTCTTGTCGCTAAAATCCGTGATCGGAGCGCCATTAGAGAAGACATGCAAGCCCCAGTCTCTGACGCGGCCACGTTTGGAGATTTCAAACCGTTTTAGAGTGGACCGATCGTCACGTTACTTGTGGAAGAGACGCAACCAAGCAGAGGAGGAAATATTACTGTAAAGTAACAATGGGACGCCGCCAATTATAACATTAATCGCCTTTTTTAGTTCAATATTTATTACGAGAGGACTTTCAGCCATACTACGAAAGAAAATGAAGGAGTGGAACTCTAACTGGAAAAGAGTCAAAGCTGCAAGGAAGTTGGTGTAGGATGTGGCGTTTAATGTTCGTTAAACGAGGCCGTAATTTATTTTTCTCGCAAACCAAAATGACAACTTTCTCTGTAGAACCCACCAACAATAATTTAACGACTTCTGTACGAAATTGTAGTGTCATGTTGTAGTTTTCGTGATTACAGTTCGTAGAACTTTCCTTGTTATGATCAATAGATTACCCTCTCCTCCCCTCAGTTTTTCGTTTAATATAATGGCGTTGATCCGATAACTGTTAAATTAAAATGTGGTTTAAAACAGTGGCTTGTGTGGTTTTACTTTAGCTCTTTATTTCAATTGAAGGTTGATCGTGTTCTGATCTTAACAAAGCCGTGAAAAACTATTAAAACCCAATCTTGATTATAACGTGACATCTTACAATCACCTTTGACAATTCATCTACCTGTGTGGTCGATGCCTTCTTAATTTTTTTCTGAATAATACTGAAGGATTGTCTTGTTTCCCTTCGCGTTTTCTCTGTTCAAGTCGTTGTAAAGTACAGTTTATTCTGGTTTTGAGGACGTAAAGGCCGAGAGTCTTGTAGTGTTAAGGTTTCTTTTGACGGTCATGTTATTTATTTGTACCTCGACCATTTGGAACAGTTCCGATTCCACATCTGTCTCTCTCAACGTCTTCTGCTTTGAGTGAATACAACATTTCTCGATTATCTGATTAAAATATTTAAGTGACTCAATGATAAGTTATCTGTTAACGACCGCAAGAACTTAATTACGAGCAATTTTGTTCTGAGGGGAAAAATAAGGTGTCCTGAAGGTAATTTTTATAAAAAAAAAATCTTACTTATTAAGCCCTCTTCCAAACACGGTGAGGGCATGAAAGAGAGTGCAACAATTGTAATTCGATGGACCTCGACATTAGCCACCAAAGCTGCAACAAAAATATCAAGTCATTAGCAGTAAATTAAGCTATTTATGACTTCGGAAAGATCTCCGTAATAAGCTAGTATTTATTAAACAAAATCCACACGAAACACAAATAAGTCACTTAACAGATGGGGCGCCGTGAGTTCATCTCGTCCCGTTGAAAAATAACGATAAAGGGGGAAAGTTAAACCATAAACTAAATATGATTAGCTTTCATTTAATATAAATATCGCCAAACTGAAATATTAGTTTTGAACTCAAATTTGTGCTTTCTCGTGGGTGGTACGCTTGACTTGGAAACAGTTTGAAATTTTCTTCAGATATTTTTTATGAGTGTCGATTGCAGGACTTCGTAATTGCCTGTGGTTTCAATGTTGTGAAGATTAAATTCAAATCTTTCTACATCGCTTGAAAAACAAGGCGGTACCACACTTGATGAGTATCTGCCTTTCCATATTTCTCTATCATTTTAAAAATTCTAGCCTCAAATGGAAAAAATAACGACAATTTTCTTGAACAATTATTACTATAAGACACAGTCTGTTTACAAGGGCTCCTAAGTGGCTTTACAATTTAGAAAATCCATTGTACAATGGAACAGTTGGCTCCAGAAGCAATGCGGCAACATTTAGCAGGAGACAATTTATACTTCAACTCTGCGGGAACGCAAAAGCGCCGCGCGCTCAGCGCTCACCATCGAATTATGACAACTGCTGGAAGTTTTTTCCAACTGAAACCTCCTGGATTCACTCCCTGAAAATGTGACTCCAGTTTATCTTAAACCTCAACGCAATTAGCTCAAACTGAAATAAATTACTTTTATGATTGAAAAGGATTACAGCAATGATCTAGCGGTTGTTTTCTCTATCAGGGTGATCAAAGGCGTGAGGCATTTATCAAAGGCTTTGACAGCCTTGAAAAGAACTTAATTAATAAGGAAATAATTTCTCAGCGGGACAAAGCGACAATGACTTTTCCTGTAGTAAAATGGAAGCACACGGTATTTTCATTTCCACTATGCACACGCCCAGCTTGAAATTTTACTTTAATAATGTTTGAAATTATATTCAGTGGTGTTTTGTAGCGCACGGTATGGGTTTATATGAAGACAAATAAATGAATAGTGGGGGGTGAAAGTTTAGCTTAATAAACTGTCACTAATAACGCAAATAATAAAGTTGATTAATCAGTGATGAGCTTTTAATTAACAATCCTTAAGAACTAATATCATTGTTTTGCTTGTGTGTTTTATTAACCGTGTCAAAATCCACTTGCTGTATATCACAGCGCGTCTGAGAAGTCTTGTAAGGCAAGGATCTGGTGGAGATTTTGCTCTGTCTAAAGTGAACTGTAATCAGTGTAATTTTAGAGCAAAAATGCGACAATTAATTGCATAAGTGGGTATTGATATTCCATGGAAGGCCTTACTGCTTTCGTGTCCCGATTCGACAAGACAAAGCCACAAGATTCATCAGCCACACAAGTTGATGATGGCCGAGTACTGGACAACGCTTCATCCTCTTCAAGTTCAGTGACTCTGCCATTCAGCATTGCAGAGATTTTGAGCGATAAGCGAAATGAGTCAAGGAAAAAGGAAACCGAAGACATAAGAGATGAGATTAGACAGTATACTGTTCAAGGTAGGAATGAAACATAACCAAAGATACGGAACCTTACGTCTTTGTTCACTGTAAAGTCGAGTGTAGAACGATCTTACTTTTGTTCAAAATACTTTCAGAACAACAATTTTTTTTTTTACCAGAAAATAATTCCTAAACGTACAACGGGACATTTGCTGTGTCATTATTTAAACATAACATGAAAGGCTAGAAGGGAGTCACTGCGTTCTTGAAATTCTCATTAAAAGGTTTAACATGTGAAATAATTTATAATTTGTCCTTATCGAATGATGTATGGACCAACATGGCCCTGCCAATATAAACAGTAATAATATTTATCTGCTAATCATAGATTAAACAGTTCACCGCAAAGCAGACAACAGAATTTCTTAGTTTATATTGAAAATCTCGATTTCTACTCAGTTCACTTTTGATTGATAACGGAACGACCATTTGGTAGAAAAATTTCATCTTTTTTTCGAGTAACAAAAAAAAAAAAAAAAAAACAATTTAAATAACGAACTTTTAGCCCAACCATACTTCAACAACTGGCGAGACTAAATACATACTTCAGTATTTATAAAAATTTTCCAACCCTTTTGTTAGAGTCACAGAGCGAAGAATAGTTTGAAGGAAAAAGGAAACTATATTGAGGTTTAGTGAGGGGATCCCTGGATTCTTGGCAGAAAACGCTTACATTGTAGCACATTCAACGTTCCTGGTTTCTCTTTTATGCCGAGATTACTCAAAAAGCACGTTGCATCTTAAAAAAGCACGTTGTATCTTAAACAGTGCGTATAAAGTCCAAGAAGAACGTATATAATGACGGTTCACACCAAATTTTGATAAATGTATTTTTCTTAAGGAACTGTTACATTAGATAAATATCTGTGTATCATTTCTACAGGTTTTGACGAATCACCCAGACGAACACACCGATGCAAACCTCCACGAAACAGAAAAAACTTCACAAGAGAACAATTGCGAGAACTAGAGAAACTGTTTGATCAGACACATTACCCAGACGCCTTGACGCGCGAAACACTGGCTAAGAGGATGGGCCTCTCAGAAGCTAGAGTTCAGGTAACTCGCTATGTGAGTTCTTGTGAGATTATTTTGAAATAAAAACAAGTTCAAAACTGATTTGACATGTTCTGGGCTACCACAACGAATTCAGTTGAAATCAATCTTAACTTACAGCTTTTTTGAATACCATATTTCCTCGAATAAGCGACCTCCCCAGATAATAAATTACCCCCCCCTCCTAGGGCCGTAATGTCAAACAGGCGCCCTCTCGAATAAGCACTCCCTTCCTCCCTCACCTCAAATAGTTGGGCTACAAGTAGTTCTACCCTAATAGTTTCTATTGCCATTTTATCTCTAACTTTGCTTCAATCAAGTGAATCAGTATAGGAGAATGATGAGCGCCCTCGTTTCAACAAGCTCCCATCTTTTTCGCTTAACTTTTCAAACAAGCGCCAAGGTAGATCAAAAAAAGAAAAAGTAGCAATCAAGATAGTTTGATTTAATCTCATATTTCCAGTGTAGAACATAAAAGTAAGGGAGGGCACTTAAAACGAGGGGAGAGGACCGGGATTAGGTTAGATGCTTTGATGACACGCATCTCCTTGTGACGATACCGCTGGTTTATTCACAGATCTGGTTTCAAAACCGTCGGGCTAAAAGTCGTCGGCAAGAAGGACCGAATCAGAGGGGATTCGTTGTCCCGGTAACCCCAACATACAAACCACCAAATCACGTGACTCCGCTAAGACAAGAAACATCTATGGCACCATTTACCCATGGTGCTTATAGAGCCGGTTGTGTTGAGCATCTGTGCATGTGTAACCACGCCAGTTTTGTTACCAGTGTTAGTCAGGTTGATTATAATCGTCAGTTTAACCAACAGACAAGCATCGAGGATCTGAGACGTAAAGCTCGGTACCACAGCTGGGGAGGGCACAACGTACACTGAGCCCGCGTTTTCATCTCCTTGGATCAGTGGAGAGAGGATTTACTTCAAAGAGGGGTGTTTCATTTTATTTTGATGTCCAGGAAACTAAAATCGAAGCCATTTGTTTTCATCATCCACCAAACTGTCCGAAATTATGTTCTCGTAGATTTAAAAAATAGCTTTAATTCAATATTCTTTACATTATAACCCTAGGAAAATACTACAATTAACTGAAATCATGCGCTTCATTCAATAAAAAAATCGCTTTTTCTCTGAAAAAATCAATGACAAAACACCACGCTGATATGGCTCTTCAATGGACTGTCATAAATCAGCGCAAAAACTAAATTTTACAATTATCTGATGGACTCGACAGTTCAAATGATGTCCCTACACCAGAAAATGAACTATCCAAACTACAGCTTCAGATGCATAAAAAAATTATCAAAAATAGTGTTTTTGATCTAAACCCACGATTCCATGTATCCAGCCTATACTAATTAAATATCTTGCGTTGCAATCAGTGCAAATAAATAATATTTAAAAAAATTCTAAAGTTAGAAAAGTTAGAAAAGCACTAGGTTTACTTCTTTATTTTCTTCTGTGGTTTTCCTCCCATGGCTGTCTGTAGTTTTCTCTCAGCTTGTTGCTTGCGCTCATGTTCGGGTTTGTTCGCATGCTGCTCCAGTTGTGCTTGTTTCTCTTCCAACTTTTTCTTGAACAAGTTCAGTCGCTCCAGACAGTTACTTTTCTGTAGATTAATGGATTCTAGCGAAGCCTTTGCAGTGGTTATCTTGGTGGTTGTTTGTCGAACGGCATTCTTATGCTGGGCATGCTCTATGCTACCCTCCGCTGACTCCCTAAAGAGGTCTGTTTGAGCCAACAGCTCTTGTTCTAGTTCCCTTAGGTTTGTAGTGACATCAAGAGACTGCCTGGAGAGCTGGGCGAATTCCTGATTCAAGCTGTCTACCGTGTCTTGCATGTCATTAACTTGAACCTGTAATAAAAGTTCACAAAGTCAATACTCGTCAGAATCCCAAAGGTTGGGTGTTTTTGTCTCTTCATGAATCTGTGTGATAAGTTTTCAGATTACAAATGTATTTCCTTTCTTTCTTGCTTGGCCAATATGAAAAAATATTTCAATGAGTTGAATTGTCTTCAGTAGTTTTATTCATAACTCACTAATGTTTCGTAAAAAAATTTGCTTTAAGGTAAAAAGGAAAAAAAAAAGGGGCTTAAAATCATACTCCTAGTCTAACTGATACTAGATACGGTACCTTAATTCTTTAATATTCTTTTAATATTAATATTATAATTTACGTGAACATACCTCAAGGAAGGTCTTATAAAGGTCCTCGTCATCCTTACGCTGTGTAGGTTTCCCAGATATTGGCAAACTAGTGCCATTGCGTGACAGAGCCTGGGCGCGGGAAACCTGTCGAGACACTCCACGTGACAACAAATTACTACGTGACTGCGCGTATCGTGACACCGGTCTCTCCTTAGCTTGTGGTCCTTGTAGCTCGTGTAGTCGTTTATCAATAAACTCTTCTGTGCCTTGAAGACGGGCGTGGGACGCCTTCTCTTCCACATCACCCAAGAAAGATCTCAACTTAGACTCTACAGCAAAGTTACTGTACTTGGATAAACGTTCCACAATACCTTCATGTGTAAAATGTACGCCCTCTTTGTTCGCACCCCGCAAAAGCTTGACGTCCAAGAGTCCTTCCACCATATTCTCCTTGTCGGCCTCAGTATGAGCATCACCAAATACGGACTCCAGCAGAACACGGCTGGCGCTTTCCAAATCGTCGCTTGCAGGAAGTGAGGACAGTGTGCGCGCAAGCGCAGAGGAACGCCTATATCGTGCAAAGAACAAGTCATCGCAAATTACGGCTAGGGCGAGATGGAACTCTTTCATAAATCCCGGATGGGAGTCGTCCCGTAAGTCTCCGCAAGCAATGTGCGCGAGGCAGTGAACCAGAACCAAAATAAACTCTCCAACGTTGTCCATTCGTTCGGTTCGCACGTACAAGATACGATTGTTTGCGTCGTAGAAAAAGGAATTCCTGTAAGCGTTCCTTTGAAGATGAGGGTTTGGAGGCAACTTATCGGCGAGCAAAAGGGTGACTGGAAGATGATGACAATGAACGGCGAGTAAATCGACAATGAAAGAGCCAAACTTGTATGTAACGAACGCCCGAGCAGGCAGCGTGTTCAGATCAACTGGGACAAGTTCATCGTCCCCTGCCCACAAAGTGTCATCCTTGATGTCAATATAACCTTCACCCGGTGCTGAGAAACAAATCAAGGCAAATAGGTTACACAACATCATTTACCGAGTAACTCAACTGTGTAGACTCTTACTGCTGCTTGATAGAACTTTCGTATCCCATCAATACATGAGCGTTTCAATACAGGTTAATTTGGTTTTATTGACTACGTTGATAATGTAAATTGACCACCGTAAGAGAGTTTAAAAGCTAATTTTG